AAAAACTAAGATATGTTTTGATTCTATCCTAAATTCTAAAAAATAATATAGGAAAATAGAGACAAAATTTTTTGGTAACCATAACGTATTTTTTTTTATAAAGTAGCACCTAAATAATTATTTCAAGAACAACACTCGTTCGGTTACGTAAATCAAATGTGTTTCCAGCTGAGAAAAGTCTTAATCTAACACATTGCATCTTCCACAATCTTCCACAAAACCACTACCAAACCAGATTTCAACTGTGCACCAGTTTTAGTTTTTTTCCTTTTTAAATTAAACATTTAAAAATAGGGCAAAGTTTATAAATAGTCCCTGAACTTTAGTGGCTTGTATTTCGGTACTCACTTTTGAAACTTATAATACAATAATCGAATTTTAGTTCGTTTCACTAATACCTATCGTTACCTCCCGTTAGTTTTTGCTGATGTGACACCTGACTCCCGTTAAACCCCACCTTCTTCTTCTTCTTCTTCTTTATCTCGATCTTTTTCAGTTTAGCTTCCAAAGCAGCTTTCTTGCAATTCTCCCATGCATCGACTGAAGAAAGCTTTTTGTAGGCTCGGCTCAAACAGTTTGAATCAACTCAAAAGTTCATTCACAAAACCAAAATCAGTTTAAAAGGTATGATTATAGAAGAAAACCCAGGTGAAGAAAGTTGATACTTGTTCTCAGCTTTGGTTTTCTTACTCTCTTCTCAAGCTTTGATCAGTGAAATTTAGAGCTTCCGAGACAGTGGCGGACGCACTAAGCTCCCATAGAAGCCAAGTGCATCCCATTATTTTGGAAATGTGGTTAAATTTAGTTTAATGTGTTAAGGAAAAAAGAAAAAAATTACAATTTTTGCATATCCATTATTTTTAAGAAAAGAAAATTAAAATTTTAGACTCCATTCTTAAATTTCTGGATCCGCCACTGTTCCGAGGTGATTAATTTCTCCATCAGCCTCTTATCCACATGCATGATCACTGAATTCTAACGAAAAACAGTCTCTTTGCTTTTCCTCCTCTGTAGCAAACAAAAGCAAAAAGATGTCCAAAAATATAGGCACGGTGCCGCACTAGCTACAGTGAGAATCTCAAACTATCTATAACAATTAAACCCTTAAATCTACAGATAATGCACCACAGGAAAGTGTGGCCGTTTCAATGCAAAACACAAATTAGTCATATAGAACTATCGATTATGAAATCAAATGCTTCCCTATTTTTGTATGTAATCGGGTATAACTTTAAGAACAAGAAGTGAAGCATTTGACAGATGCCTAGAAAATGAGAATGAGTTTCTGCAAACTGGACAATGAGACTCGTATCGAGAATTCATTGATATGAACGCACCAGAAACATGATATATGACCACAATTTGTATATTTTGAAGGGGAAGAAAACTGAATCATCAATAATAAAAATTAAACATTAAAAAACGAAATTCACAGATCTTTCAATAAAACTAGCAAAGAAAAATCTTACGTAGAACTATTGGCTTGTAAAGAAGATCCCTGCAAATGAAAAAAAGAAGAAGCTAGAGTTGATTCAAACCAAGTCTATTTCACTGATCAAAGCTTGGGAAGAGAGTGAGAAAACCAAAGCTGAGAACCAATATCAACTTTCTTTACCTGGGTTTTTCTTCTTCTTAGAAATCATACCTTTCAAACTGGTTTTGGTTTTGTGAATGAACTTTTGAGTTGATTCAAACTGTTTGAGCAGAGCCTATAAAAAACTTACTTCAATGGATGCATGGGAGAATAGCAAGAAAGCTGCTCTGGAAGCTGAAATGAAATGGAGTGAGGTAAAGAAGAAGAAGAAGAAGGAGAAGAAGTGGGGTTTTAACAGGAATTAAGTGTCACGTCAACAAAAACTAATGGCAAGTAACGGTAGGGATCTTATAAAAACGAACTAAAAGTTCGATGACTGTATTGTAAGTTTTAAAAGTTGAATGACCAGAATGCAAGCACCCTAACAAAAACTAACGGCAAGTAATGGGAGGGATGTTACTGAAAACGAACTAAAAGTTCGATGACTGTATTGTAAGTTTCAAAAATTAGGTAACCAAATGCAAGCACCCTAAAGTTCATGTACTATTTATATATTTTACCCTTAAAAATATAATAAATCGGGTAAATTGCATTTTAAATGTCTAAAATTTTACTTACGTTATGTTTAGCCTTTAAATATGTAATTTAGTTTGAAATTGACTCCTTGATCCATATTTTATAACTTAGTAAAATACGTTTAATATTATAACATTTTGGATGAATTTGACCCATGATAGACCTGTATAAATCATAATTGACTTTTTAAATTTAATATTTTTAATATTATAATATTTGGGTTAGATCCAGTCTATAAAAGACCTATTTAAATTAAAATTAATTCTTATTTTTGTTTAATATATCATAATTTAGTATAATATTATAAATATTATAATATTTGGGTTACATTTGAACGTGAAAGATTTATTTAAACCAAAATTAATCGCAATTTTGTTTAATATATCATAATTTAGTCTGATATTGTAATATCAAAATATTTTTGTTACATCTGGTCTCTGAAAACCTATTTAGATCAAAGTTAATCCATATTTTTGTTTAATACCTCATATATCTAATATATTAAGACTGTAATATTTGAGTTGCATTTGATCCGTTAAAGTCCAATTAAACTAAAATTGACCCATGTAATTTTATCTTTCAATTCAGAGTAGAAAACATTTACGAATAATATGCATAAACCATCTTAGTGGTTAAAGGATTTTGTATTTCTTGATGTCAAGGGTTTGAGCACCGCATATGCAGTGGTATAAACATTAATTGCAATGGTCAATAGTTTTTGAACATATATTACCTTGTATTCACCATATTATCAATAAAAATATGAATAACCCAAATATTTCATTCAATTAGAAATAAAAAATTTTTGCACGAACCAAGTGGTTTCGTGGTAAAGTTATCGTTCCTTGAGACTCGAGTTCAAGCACCGAGAACATCAGAGGTGTGAGCGTTCATGTAAAGAGGTTGAGAGTTATCTTAGAACTATATTATCTTGTAATTACCCCATATAATAAAAAAAATTAATAAAAAGTAATTAAACTTTAGCAAATTTATATCAGTGTGCATGGAAGAAAAACATAACAAATGCAACAATTTTTCCTTGAGTAAGGATAAGATTATCACATTACATTAAAAGAGTTCTTCATTTATATACGTAATGTGAGAAAAACAACAAACATTCCGCCTAACTATGAACACATTACTCTTACATAGAGATTTTAATCATCATAATTGTGTAATCATCAGAAGTTATGTTGAGTTCTTCAATCTTTTATAATTTTTTCCTCGTTTATACTTCTATGTTTGCTTCATACAAATCATCTATTTGTGTTAATTAGTATGTGAACTCGTATCATCGTTATCAATGTTAACAAACTCCACATATAGATATAAAATTGACACAATATATGGCAATCATCCTAATAATGTTAATCATTGTTGAGATAAAACATAAAAACAATCATAGAAAAAATAACCATCATAAAGATAATAAGTAAATGTTTAGTTGAGAGATTCTTGTTTTGAAAGATGTTAGCTTATAAAATTAGGAGAAATGAATTTACTTTTACTCAATAAACCGATTTTTTATAACCCAAATGTAAAATGTAAAACTCTTATATTTAAAGTGAAAATAATAACTATCGAAAATGATAATATAATATAATAATTTCCCAATAGATTCTTAACAAAAAGGAGAAATGTTTAAATTTTTGGAAAAGAAAGTGAGAAAAAATATATTTACAAATTAAATTAGATGGCCTATTCCCATATGTAATGGGGTAAGGGAATGTAGGATAGTAGGCTACCCCCAACGCCAGGTTGAGAGCAGCTTCCGTTGGAGACCTACGGCAGTCAAAATTATAAATTGTCCACCGTGGGACTCGATCCCACGACCACAAATAGACTAATCGTAAAAATTTACGTTAAATTTTGGCTTGAAGATCAGAACGTTATGTTTGGTTGCCGAGGAAAATGGAGGAAAATTAATTGAAACAACAATTGGAAATCTGAAACCATTTAAACCTGCCTTGTTTGTTAACTTTGACATATATGAAATCTTGTTAATATTGGTTGATCCTGAACTGAATTATAGTTAGTTTGGTTTTGCTTGGTCTGAGAAAATGGAGGAATAAAGTGTAAGCTACGTATTTGGAAACTTGATTAAGCTATTTAAACCCAGAAATCCGCTTTTATTAACTTTGTTGATTCATATTTGGGTTCAATTGGGTATCTCCTTATTTCAGTTATATTAATGAAATTATGTTAACTTTACTATTGATTTCTAGTCATTTATGGTTAATGTGTTTTTAAATTGCAGATATGGAAATTTCATGCCTTAGGCATGAAGGCCTTCCCCCAGAAAATCCAAATCCTGAATACACTGAGCATTTTCTGCCTGAAGAATTGTGCAGACCGAGTTCGACAAGTGCTCAGAAAGAGAATTGAAATTTACTCTTAAAGGGTAATGTTTTCCTTTAATCCGCTTCATTCAGTGTAATGGCCTACTTTACTATTACTGAAGGGACGGGTGCAGAATTTTATGTTATGGTGTGTGAACTTAACGCTTATATTAGAAATTTAGGCAATATTGCTTTTTGGTCCATACCTGGTTTATCTGTATATGCACTATGCCACTATTACCCTTTGGTTGATCACGTCCCTATAGCAATCAGCTTCTTCTGAAGCTGAACGATGAAATTGTAGGAGAATTAAAGTTTTGCTCGTTTGTCATTGGTGAACATATCAACTGATAAGAATAAGTTTATGCATTTTTACTGATACTAACTGGGATCCCGCAAAATCAGTATAGATTAAAGGGATATAAAATTTGAGCTTAGTGCAGAATTTGTCAATTGTGTCAACATGATTGTTAATCTCTTTAAATTTTCATTATCCATTTTTTCTTTTTTTTAAAAACTTTATAGGGAAAGTGATGAAATAGCTGGTTATGATGCAGGCTGCAGATGCGGTGTTGAGGGCCATTGGTAGCAGGTGGACTGTACCATGGACAGCAAAGACTATTCTGCAGGTTAGCTTGTTTACTTGGTATTCTGTAGAAATATATTTGGAAACAGCAACTGCTTTCTTAGCATTCATAGATGTTTGTAGTATGTTTTGTCGATTAATCATACTGAAATAAGCGGCTAAGGTACATGAACTCGATGAATTTATTTGTGGCACGGCTTTCAATTGGGTTGCACAAGATGACATGTGGTGGACTCAAATCTATTTTTTAAACCCCCAACTGTTTGGATGAGTGATTTCATTTATAGTAGGAATTAAAATTTTAAAATGAATATTATCATGTAATCACACTAGACTATTCAAAAAAAAAAAAAAACTAAAACAGAGTTACCTTGTTTGGAAAATGAATTTTGGAATTGTGAAAATACTTTGAATGAGGGGTTTTGGAGGGTTCAATTATCTTTTCCCATTCCACCTTTTGTGGTGGAATTTGTGAAATTCTTTGGTTTTGTGGTAAGAAATCAACATTTACTATTTTTCTCGATTCTAATTACAAAATCTAATTATAATATTTTTTTCGTATCTACTAATGTCTATACACTTTTATATATTTAATGATACCCATGCTACATATTTTTTTCAACATTTTGCTTCATTTATCTCTAATATCGTTATTTCTGCATTATAATTTATAATTGTTTTTATCTCACCAAATTCTGATATGCAAAATTTCTTTCTAAAATAATAATTATCCAAAAAATGGAATATATAATGCTGTTATTTGGAATTGATGCATCTCAAGACTCTTCAAAATTTTCTTTCAAAACACAACCTAAACGAATTTAGGAGAGGAGAAAATTGAGAGCTTTCACATCCTTCCTACTGTATCACTGATGGCAGTTTCAATATTTCCAGGTAGATAACACGAACAATTATTAGTTTATTGTTTTATATCTGATACTTGACAATTTTTTTGTCTAGGAGATAGGAATGGAAAATGAATTTTGTTGAAATGATCACATCTGAAGCTAAATGTTAATAAATAATCATCCTTGTTAGCATTTTAAGACTAGGAATTATAACAATGGATGGAACTAAATGAATGACATTTTTTTGTGTGACAATCTCATTGATCCTTGGATGAATTACAAATGTGTCAATTTGTTGCATGATAATATATTATGTGCTTATGCAGGTTATGCTTCTATGGGTAGCTGCATTCTGGTTCGTCGGGTCTTGGATGGTTCCTTTTGCTGCTCACATGGTAGGGTTCAGCAAGGAATCTCTGACATTCAGAGGGCAAGCCTTGTTCAGCCTCATGACTGACGTAACCGAAGGCCTTGCTGGGGTTGCAATACACCACCGCTGCCTGTCTCAATTTCATCCCCTTCCATCAGATTGGTTTAAATTTAGCTTGAGAGGAGAGTGGCTTTTTGATGTCGCTCTAGGATGCCTCATGTTCCCTCTCGTCAACCAATTATCACACTTCAACCTCAACTTGTTGCCCCTTATGCCTTCTGCTCCAGTAACCCTCTCAAGCGTTGAACAATCAATTTTAGCTAGAGATCCAGTAGTTATGGCGCTATATGCGATAGTTGTTTCAGTTTGTGCTTCCGTGTGGGAGAAGAGAGTTTTCCGGGGTTTCCTTCTCCCGTCCTTGACCAAATACATGCCTGTATGGTGTGCAATTAGGGTTGCACATAATTCGGATTTCAATCCGATCCGGATCGGTTTTTATCCGATCCGGTTTTTTCCCATAGAAAAAAAAACCGGTTTATAAAATAACCGGTTCGGTTTCTAACCGGTTTGGAGGGCCGGATATCCTAACCGGTGTAACCGGTTTCGGTTTTAAAAAAACCGGTTTTTTAAAAAACCGGTTATAAAAAACGATTTGAAAAAAAAACCGGTTATAAATAACCGGTTCGGTTCTAACCGGTTTGGAGGGCCGATATCCTAACCGGTGTAACCGGTTTCGGTTTTAAAAAAACCGGTTTTTTAAAAAACCGTTATAAAAAAACCGATTTAATAGTCCAGATTGCTCATAGGGAACCGATTCCCCCCAAGGGGGTACCGATTCCTCACTGAATGGTTTGGCTCCGAGATTTCCAGAATGCTCGGAGGGAACCGATTCCCCCATAGGGGTACCGATTCCCCCTATTCAACGGTCGAAATATTTGAATTTTACACTTAGGGAACCGATTCCCTATGAGAGGAAACCGATTCCCTATGAGAGGGTACCGATTCCCCCATGCTCCAAGCATTTTTATTAAATGTTTTCACACTTAACGGCTATATTATCTTCATTAATTATCACTAACGTTCAGAAGTGATTCAAGGTGTATTTAAGCAAGCTTAGAAGCCATTGATCAAAGACAAGAAACATCAAGCAACTAGAATCAAGAGAGAATCAAGAGAAAGCATCAAACCTCAAGTTCGATAAATTCAAATACTTATTGAAATACTTAATTAACTCACATAATGAAATACTTAAATACTTCCAAGTTTGATAAATTCAAATACTTAAAACTTCCAAGTTCGATAAATTCAAATACTTAAAACTTCAAGTTCGATAATTGAAACAAAGTTTACGATAATTGAAATAAAGTTATAAAATAAACTACATTTGCCATTCTTCTTCATCATCTTCGCCTTCTTCGTTTGGAGGGGATATTCCAAGTTCGACTTCTTCAATGTGTAAGTTTGCTTCCAAATCGGCATCAATTGCATCTTCTAGGGTGGTGATATGTTGCTTACGAGCCGCTCCATCCAAATAATCCTTTAAACAAATGCATACTTCACCGACTCGGGACTTAGTCTTGATCTCCGTTGTGATATAACCTGCCACTAACAGAAAAAGCGGATTCCGAAGCTACCGTAGAAGCTGGACGGTTAGTAATCACGAGCCATGGCGGCTAGAATCGGAATTGTGCTTCATTTCTTTCCACCAAGCCAAAATATCCAAACTTTCAAACTCTTCAAATGTCATTTTTGATAGAAAATCATGACATGTAATTTCCCAACTCGCTACTTGGGGTGGTAGTACGTGATCGTTTGGATTGGGAATTTACAAAAGTGTTAAAAAGATTCAAATTATGTTACTTGGACGTCTACTAGATGATTCCGCATTCATTCTCATTTGATCGTGTATTACACTACTTGATCCATATTTAGTTAAATAAATTGCAAACATGTCTCGAAAACAGTTGTTAAAATAATTTATTTGGTTTTGGACAAGTTGGGTTCATCATCGGTTAGATTAAAGCAAACGCAATTTGTTCAATTAGTGTTTCAACCCACCAACATTTAACGTTGGGTTTAAAGCGGCGGCACAAGTAAAATGGGGGGAATCTCCTTAAAATATTTTAAAAGTTTTTCCTTCATTGCAAAGCCATTTCTTGAAAAACTTCGGTTTCAAATTCAAAGTCTTTAGTCGGGTAGCCAACAAAATATTTGATTAAGAACCAACGGCTAGTAGGGTAATAAACACCGGATAAAAAGTTGTTGCATTTTTAAAAAACCTCAGCAAATCGGTTTATTTTGGCTATAGTTTCCCAACTCGAATCCGGATAAATGTTTGGGACATGACCCTCTCGAAAAGCCGATCGTGAAATGTTGCAATGTTTCCCTTTGCCTTAAGGCAGTATGCATCATCATCCAAGTTGAGTTCCAACGAGTTGGACAATCCAAATTAGGACCCAAAGCTTTTTATTAACAGACTTACAAAATCGTTTATAATCATTTAGTCTTTTGTTGTTGTTACAAAGAATCGATTTATCATTGTTTTATATTCTAATCTAATTGGTCAATAACCTCCAAACCGCTTGCACGGATAAATTAATTATGTGTGCAACGCAACGGTATGAAAAAACGCACCGTCTAAAATCGGTGAAAGTAATATTTTCAATCTTGGAACCGCGTTTGTATTATTCGATGCATTATCAAAGATAGAAAAAACTTTATTTTCTAATTTATAAAGACAAATTACCCGTTTTAAAAGTGTAAATAAATTAGCATCGGTATGGCGGCTCACCGAATAATTCAAACGCGATTGTTCTTTTCATCATTTGCCAATTATCTTGATCTAACCAATGTGACGTAACGGCTAAAAAAGAATTTCCGGTATTATGAGGGGAACTCCAAACGTCACATGTAAGCGACACATCATAACGGTGTTCTTGGAATCCTAAAATCATTTTTTCTCTCGCCGTACGCCACATTTTTATAGCATCTCTTCTAAGGGTAGTACGACTTACTTGAGTATAACGTGGTTGCATTAGTTGTTGAATTGTTGTCGTGAAATCTTCATCATCAAAGTGGTCGAACGGCAATGCTTTTGTAATCACGAACTTTGTAAACGCTTCTCGTAATTTTTCGTTGTCGTAAACAAAAACACACCTTGCGGTGTAAGATTCGATTGACTAGGATCCGATCTTGAGCGAAGTGCCTTGCATGATTTTGTCAAATGGTCTTCAACGTGTGTTTCCTTCCGTGCAGAAACTTTAGACAAAGTTTACAACGCGCCCTCCTCGAGCCATTTGACATCTCACATAAATCGTAGTGATCCCAAATATCTTTGTTTCGAGTGTGTTCGATCACTCTCACGACTTCAAGTTTCCCCCGACGGAAGATTCAGCAGTGTTACTCATGATGAACAAAAATTACAAAACTAAGATTTAAGAGATGTTTAAGTGTTGTGTAATAAGATTTGAGAAAGTTGTAATCAACCAAATACATCCCCAACCTATTTATACATGTTTAGGTGGTAAAATGAAATTTTTTAAAAAAAAAACGGTCAAAAACGGTCACAAACGGCTATATTAACGGCTAATTTTTTAAACCCAGACCGGTTTTTTTTTTCGGATAAAAACCGGTTTTTTATCCGGTAAAAAAACCGGTCTGGGTTTTTTTCTCCAAACCGGTTAAAAAAAACCGATTTTTCCCAAATCCAGTTTCGGATATTTTTTTCGCAAAATCGGATATTCGGATTTTTTGTGCACCCCTATGTGCAATACAGGTAAGCTCGGTTGCCTTTGCTCTGGCACATTTTAATGTACAGAATGCTACCACTTATTTTCCTAGGAAGAATGGTGATGGGGAGTCATTTTTGCGCGGTCGAGGAATTTATTGCCATCTATGCTTCTGCACAGCCTATGGAACAGCTTTGTGTTCTTGGATCTAATGAGATGATCATCTTGTCTTCTAATGTTCAAGCAAAACAGATGGTTCAGGCCAATGTTCTGGGGTATGATTTGAATGAATGCTGCCATCTGAATGCCGCCGAGTAACACAAATGCTGCATGCTGGAAGGCAATTCAGTTGATCCGACACTGCTCGTGAGAATTGCATGCCATTTCTGCTTGTCTATGGCTACATCAGGGACAGAAAAAGTAACCAAGTAATGAAGACTATACGTCCAGTTTGGCCAATGGCAACCTCCCGTCTTCGAACTGTAAAAACGCGTTTAAACTTGTTTTCTCGACATATGCCTGCTATTGTTTTCTCGACATATGCCTGCTATTGTTTTCTCAACATAAACAAATGCAGTAGCAGTCGAAACGATCATGAATCGATCAAAGCCTCCAACATAAAGCAAAGTGAATCATTCAGAGAGATATCCAATAACAAGTTGAGTTGAGAGGAACCTTCAACCCGATGTACAACACCCTAATCCACAACATACAATATGATAACATATTGTGACCATACCGGATAAATTTTAACACTACCTTCACAAACACATCTACCGCATGTATGTCAAATCCTAGCAACAGCAACCTAATTTTTCTTCTTCTCCTTCAATGGTCCCCTATGAATCTTACTTAGGACTTTCGAATCGAACACTGCATACTGCTTCTTGATCTCATGCCATGCTTTTTCTCAGCAAATGGATCCACCTTGTCTTCATACTTCTCATACAGCACAGGCACAGTGTGTAGTAGAACAAAGACTATTTTACAAAACCATTAACATAAAATCAGGAAACAAAAATGAGTTAGAGGGAATGAAAGCAAAGGTTTTGAAGTTAAGTCATATACCTATGTAGAACAGTGTCAAGAAGTTGCACCAATTTCCCACAATAGACAAGACCCACAAGCCAGCAATCACCTGAACAATGGCGGTGCCAATCCAATATGATAGTCAAATGCCTCGTAAAATACTTGAGAATCTTCAAATAGATGAAATGATTGGGAATGTAACCATTGCATCACTATCTTAATTCCTAGTTGGATGAACAGTTCCAAATAATCAACAAGAAAACTATTCAGCGCAAATAAATAAAAAAAGTAATAGAACATACAGAGAGGAACTTCTTAAGTTCTCTTCCTGATGCAATATCCCGCAGGACAGCAAGAGCCCAATTAATCTCAAACCTAAGTGCCTCGGCAACTCTAAAACCGAGTCCTTGGGAATTTGAACTTCAGGAATGCATGGTGGAGACCTACTCAAAACAAATCGCCATTATGTCCAGCCAAAAGAAATACGAATCTGAATGTAGCCCCAAAATTAGAGAATAAATTCACAGCTTACTTGTGAACGAAGGTAGTAGCATTTGACAAGAACAGAAGTGCAAGAGCAAGTATCAACAAGTGACACACTAGTGTGAGAAGGTGGTATTCGAATAATTCAAACAAAACCATATTACAGTTGCAACGCCTAGCGCTCCAGCCGAAACCTTTTTGTTCCTCCACAGGAAAATATCAGCCTCTATTACAAATACACCCAATTATAAGCATGCATCAAACAATTATTGACCGAAGGTAATCGTTACTGTGATAATCAATTTAAGCAATAAAATTATTATCAGGGAAGATTATTGATACAATCAACTATGATGTTCTGAAGCTACTGATAAAATAAGATAATACCAGACTCCGTTCACTCTAACAAAGCAATAAAGTAAAATTCAGTAGATCTATTCGCATGATTCAATTGAAGATATAGAACTTCCCTAACTTACTTTTATGCTAATACAGATATTAACATATCAAAAACCATATTCAGCTCAAAGAACACCAGTTAATCAAACACAAAAGCTCGATCTAAATCATTGAGTATGATCTATCTCTTTAACGATCACCCATTTTTAAAAAAAATGGAATTTAACTGATTCATATCGGAAATCGGAACTTCAAAAACCCAGACTTGAAAAAGAACTGAAAAATTAAGTGAACAAATTTAAGGAGCGAAGAAAGGGTTTTTGTAACATACGTTTGCCTCCACCAAGAACGTGGTGGACGGGCCTTTCTCTTCCAAAGAGACGGAAGACTTGGCCTTCGTCGATGATTCCAATGGCTTGTCGTCATCGGAATCCGACGACGATGACGATGAATCACCTTTGATTTTCTCCGATATTCTCCAACAACGATTCCTCGTGCTTCTCTTCGTGGTCAGCCATTTTCTCTCAAACGAGTTTGAAGATCCAAAAGAAAACTCCAGAAATGAAATCTTAAGAGTGTTCTACTGTTCTCTTCTGTCTCTTTAAGCCCTCTAGCTTGATAGAAATCTTCACCTTAGATCTGATCTGAACCGATTAGTGATACGGTTTTAATCTGGACCGTTGATAGGTTTGGAAATCCGAAGCTGTAGGCTTGGTGGGAAACCGGAACCCGAGAGTGGAGTTGTTAAAAGAGAGTATTTACGTTTTATAGATTCCAGGAATAACGACCGTCTTATTTTGATGAACATCGTGAGTGATACAGTCGGACGAATATTATAACGACACGTGGAAGTGTAAAAACCCTCGACTTATTTTTATTTTTAGACAATATTATTAAAATGATATCCAATTAATTTTTCACTAAAATAACAATAAAAAAAATTAATTTTAAACCGTAACTCATTCCGGCCATAGAGGAGGAAGTGTTTTATCAAAGCTCTTCGTAGCAAATAGGGGTGATTATTGAATGAGTTGATTAGTTGGGTAATAATTGATTTGTGCTCATTAACAAGTTTTTTTTCTTCTTCTTTTTTAAGGTTTTGGTTTGAGCATAAAAAATACTATAGGTGTGAGCGTTCAATGTTAAATGATTGAGAGTTATCTATGAACACATATTGCCTTGTACTTACCCATATTAATAAAAAAATATTTCTCAACTTGACTTGTTACTCATTAAGCTCGTTAAAGTTTTGCTTAACTTGTGCTCGTTAAAGTAAACTCATTGCTCTACTCATTGGTCGTTAAACTCATTGCTCGTTGATCTCCTCCTTGGTCGTTAAGTTTATCGAAATTTTTACCTTGCTTTTAACTATAAGTAAAATCTACTAATACAATAAAGAGCCTAGTATAGACATCCTTTTATTGTTTCCTCCATGGGTACTCGGGATACAATCAGATTGTTATAGCACCGAAGGACCAAGAGAATAATACCTTCACATGCCTCTATGGTACCTATGACTTTATGAGGATGTCCTTTAGCATTTGCAATGCTCCAGCCATGTTCCAAAGATGTATGTTAGCCATCTTTTTAGACATGGTTGAAGAATGTTTGGATATCTTCATGGATGACTTTTCAGTCTCTGGAGATGACTTTGATTTATACCTTAGAAATCTGGCCAAGGTGCTGAAGAGATCTAAAGAAGCAGACCTGATGTTAAACTAGGAGAAGTGTCACTTCATGATGACCGAAAGGACTATTCTAGGGCACAAGATCTCGTAGCAAGGAATCAAGGTGGATAGGGCAAAAGTTGAGGTGATTGAGAAGCTACCACCTCCCACCACGGTGAAGAGTATTCAAAGCTTCTTGGGACATGAAAGTTTCTATAGAAGATTCATAAAGCACTTCTCAAGGATCTCCAAGCTACTGTGTATATTGCTCCAGATTTGATTTCACCATTTGAACTTAGTGTGATGCAGTGATTATACGGTGGAAGCAGTACTTGGGCAAGTCGAGGTAAATTTTTCCTATTATTTACTATGCTAATCGCACTTTAAATGAAGCAATCAATTATATATTCACTAAAAAATAATTGTTGGTCGTTGTATCTCCGTTTGATAAGTTTAGAGCATACTTGATAGGCACTAAAGTCATTGTAAATACTAATAACTCAGCTATTAAGTACTAGTGACTAAAAAGGATGCAAAACCTAAACTTATTCAGTGGATACTTCTCTTGCAAAAATTTGACCTAGAGGTTAATGGATAAAAGGGAACTGAAATCAAGTTGTTGATCTGTTTCTAGGCTAGAAAACTAGGTTGAATGCGATAATGAAATAAAGATTAAGGAGGAATACCTGATGAGAAATTATTATTTGTTGCGATAATTTTGGGGTATGCTGACATTGTTAATTTTCTAGTTAGTATTTTGCCTCTTGATTTAAATAGCCAGGGAAAGAAGAAGTTCAGTCATGATGTTTGTTCTACTATTGGAATGACCCCATCTATTGAAGTAATGTGCTAATCAAATAATTAGAAGGCATGTCCTCGAAGAGGAGCAAAAATATATCTTATTCCAGTGCCACACAACTTCATGTGGTTGGATTAATGCTAAAAATGTTTCCTAAAACTTGAATCCATTAGAACAACAAATCCATCTATTATCTTGAACCTCTCAAAAACCCTTTTTTTGAAACTAAGTGAAAAAACTGAGAAATGGAGCTTGATTAAAGCTTGAAGAGTGAAGATTAATAATCTTACCTTGGTAACCAACTTACACTTGAAGCTCCTATAATCTCAACTTGGAAAGGAAGAAGAAGAGAGAAAAGATGGAAAGAATAAGAAAAGTTTTGGTGAGAAAATAAGGGGAAGTAGTTCACGTTAACCATATAAAAATAGGGGTTTTTATCTTTCATTAAACCATGGGTAAACTACACTTTTAGTCCCTCTACTTTTAGTTTCAACTTAAACCACCTAACCCTTGGCCCAACTTAATCTCACTCTCTGTTAAATAAGTTGAAACTATTCTAATGGGTCCTTTGGCTCAATATATGGTCTCGGGTTGACCCGATCTACTAACCCATTTGGGGCATTACATGGCCTCTACTCATATCACTTGATTGAGAGCAATTTCTTTCTCTAAAAACTATTTGAGAAATTTCGTCTAAGAAGACCAAGCGGCTGCTAGACATCATATTCTATTTATAACGTGTTGCACTAACCCTTATGGCTTTATTCTGAATTTTAAAAATAGAAATAATTATTCTAATTATATTTTTTTAATATAATTTCAATATTTGTCTATATGATTACAATTACACACATACACATCAAATATATATATATATATATATATATATATATATATATATATATATAATTATGTTAATTATACATTTTATTCATGCACAATAAAATTGTACATGTGTAACTCATTTATAAATTACTTATTTCAATCTAGGGTCTGACCCTGTAGGTTCCTGTAACATTAGTAACTATTAGAACCATTCTACTATTACAAACAATGAGTGATATCTAGAAATATATCATTGTCATCTAAGTTACAAGAAATTGTGATTCGACATAACCTCTTCGTGACTAAATCCTTTATGTACTATATACTTTTTCCTTTATATCTAGAATAGGCACAAGTTCTGGAATACTCAAATTAGTATGGCCATCTAATGTTTCTTGATATATAAATAGACTAAATTAAATGAACAACTTGAAATATCTCATATCAACTTGTTCGAGAATGGCCATGCATTTATAGTCTCACTCAATCAAGTGGCCTGAGATATATTTCATTATGTAGAAAACAATCCTATCTTGATCATTCACACCTCACTACATATATCATGATATGTTCAATATCAGTCTTTATAGTGCAACCAGTTACGGAGCATGTTTAATTGTATCAAAACATACAAAAATATATGTTGAGATAGTAATGATCTCAAGCCCGAGGATCATACATAATTATCACCATGATCAATGTTATGATTGTCATAATAATCCAAGAAACATGTTCATATGGGTCAATCCAATATATTATTTTCTAACGACATACTCATGTATCTATTTTGACATCTCTGTGTCAAACAACTCGTTGTCATCAATCAACTCCATGTTAGCATTAAACGTATTATTATGTACATGTCCATAATAATACTTGACTAAGGATCTTAATATAATCATATATTATATGGACTTTTATCTTTCAGTTTATGTTAGACACAGAATACAACTGAAAATACCTTTATTCAATAAAACCGATAAATAAAATTTATCATTACAATCATCTCATGATTGGTGGGTATACCCTAACAACGAACTGAATGTACATGATTGTTGTGTTGGTAGTATTGACCCTAGGACTTGTTTTTCTTGTGCTTGAATTTTACATGATTTCATGTTATCTATGCTTAAAAGCTTTAGAAATTTTTGTGAAGAACTCTTACATGCCTTAGTATGATAGAATTAATGACGGTTAATCTCAATGATAGCACGAAAGGCTTAAATTAACTCCCTTGTGCTTACTGAAATTTTGAAATGTGAATAAACGCCAATGACATAAACTGTTAGGGACACTCCTATTTGCATTACATTGCCTGGAAACTCCTTTAATAAATGACATAATAGCATATGAGTGAATGAAATTCTTCACGAGATGACTCTTCTTAATAGGCTCGAGGATGGGGGTGTTGCTCCACTTCATTTTTAGGTCTTGGTCAATAGGTGTGATGAGATGAAGCCCCTTAAAAACAATGCAAAATTTGTTAAATTAATGGGAGTAATGTTGTTTAATTGTTAAACAAATGCTAAGGTAGACTAGAGAACTTACTTAGGAATTTTCCAACACTGTTAACCATAGATTTGATGCATTTATGTACACACATGCAGAAAACCTAATCTTAGGTAAAAAATTTTACAATCATGATATGTCTAGCAAGTTGAAACCTATATTTCTAAGGACTGAAAATTTTGCCATAGCATCTCTTGGGATAACTTTTTCCATTACATATTGTTATTGATCACTACTCATTTCTTGAGTACAAGCAATAGCTTAAGTCTGGGGGTGTGTTAACCCCATAAAAAGGGTATATTTCATGCCTTTTTACTTGGGTTATTGTTTGATTTCAAGTTCAATTAGTTGTTTTTAGTTTCATTAATCATGCATGTGGTGTAGTTTGCTTGCTGGTATTTAATTATCTTATAAATAATGTTGTGATAGGAGAAGGTAGTGTTATGTGTAGGTGTTAAAGGAAAAAAGAGGAATGATATTTACTGTAGCATTTCAGATGGCATTTATGGGAACAGATGAGGACAAATGAAGACATTTTGTTAGTTGTACACGTGACCCCCTTTGCTAGCTCTGGGTCTACACATGAAGTGAATATTTCTCTAGGGCACAGAAGGAATTAGGGCACAAATTGTAAAAGCCCACTATATAAAGCAAAGGACACCCACTTTTAAGGCAATGTTGGAATTTATGAGATAAGAAAAGAGTGTGTGTGTGTGTGTGTGACAACTATCTTCTTCCTCTTCTTCATCTTGGGTGACCACTTTTGTTGAATGCTCTAAGAGTGTGTTTGGTTGGGGGAATGTGAGATTCCCATGGGAATGGAATCCACATTCCCCCGTTGGTTGGCCAGGAATGTCATTCCCGGGAATCTTACATTACCAATAGTGGATTTTTGGGGTATATTACCGGGAATGTCATTACCTCCCTTTCCTTAGATATTGTTGGATTACCGGCGTTTTGGACTAAAATGCCTTAATTTTTTTTCTTTAAAAAATATCCTTATTCTGTCATTGAATAATAAAAATTCTATGAAGGTTAAATTACAAATTTATCCTTAAACTATTTTAGATTTACAAAAAAAATCTATAATTAAAATTTTATATGAAGTTCAGGGGTTAAAATAAAATTTTACCCTTTCATTAAACTTTTTTATATTTTCAATTTGAAAAAAATATATAAATTTTATGAATTTAATTTTTTAAAGAAAATATATAAATATTTTCCAACTTGTTAGAAAAACAAATATATAATAAGGACAATTTGGTCAAATATACATTCCAATAATCTTTTATTCCTTTAACCAAACACGGTAATCTTATATTCTTGCTAAACCAACCAAACACAAAATACAACATTTCTAGTAATCCTATTCCCTGGTAATCTTTTATTCCCACTAGTAATCTTACATTCTGTGAACCAAACGCACCCTAAGGGATATCGTGCATCTCTTGAGAGAAGCTTGCAAGGAACGAATCAGCTCAAGGTAGCTCAGGAGTTTGCTTATTATTAGTTTACTCTTGCGTGGTTTTATCATTTCTTAAAAGTCGCTTAAATTTTTCATGGATGATTTCTGCCTAGCCATGAACTAATATATCTTAGCTTGGGTTATTATGGATGGTTATTTTTTCTTTAATGAATGTTTTAGCATTTTACTGTTATTATTTGTTGTCAATAGTTGTTGTTTTGTTTAAGTGGGAAGCTTTCAGAGTTAGCTATCATTTAGTTAGTTGCTTAATGTTTGAGAAAGTTAAGCATGAATCTATGTGAACAATGGGGTTAAGCTATTAAGTTTAACTCTGACTCACATTGGAGATATAGATTGGGTTTCAACGACTAAAAGGAGTAGGCTTAAAAGATAATAATGTGCTAGGACTCACACAGAGATGTATGGCCTTAGTATTTTTATTGTTGATTTCCTGCTAGAGACAATATAGAAACAACCTAGTCTATTATGTCGAGCAATATATTGATGGTAAGATGCTAGAAATTTGTTAAGGAATATATAAGAAATTGTAGTAAACCTAGCCTTTTATCCTTTGGGATTATGCAACATGTGTAAGGTCTCATTGTCTTAATTTGTAAAACCCAGTTCTAGACATCTTTTTGGTACAACATTTATTTACTTTGTTCATATCACTTCGCATACAATACTTTCATTTACATTTTGAGTGCATTTACTTAACTTAAACTCCTTTCAGTCCCTATAGATACAATCTCACTTACAACTATTATTACTTGATCGATGTGTATACTTGCACAATTTATGAATCACTTTATACAATGCAACACTACTATCTGAATGATTCGATTATAACCATTTTTTCAGCAAGGATTACATTAATAATCAGTTGGAATTCCTCCATTTGATTTACTAATGGTTTGGAATCAACCAAATATACTTCATGAATCTGGAAACTAAAAACTTTTTAGCTCTAGCATATTCGAATGATATTTATGGTTTATGCCTCCAACAATATCTTTACCATTGGATAATAGAGTACACTAGATACATGAATCCTGTAAACTATTCAGGATATAGTTCTGGCATATGAAGTCAGAGTGCTTCCAAGTTTCAACCATATGAAGGTGGTGATATTATCTACCTCTTTTTCTTGTTCTCCTCTTTAAAGCAGGATGATCTTCCAAGCTTCAAAACATATGAAAAAATATACAAAAATATATATGTATTTTATATGGTTATAAAAACTATTTAAATTGGAATAAAATAATATCATAAATTATAAATATTTACAATTTATATTAAACAAAACTCGAAAATTTGACTCGACTTACTCGAAAAAATTTCAAGTCAATTTCAAGTTGTAAAATAAGACTCGTCAACTCGAAATTTTTTGACTCGACCGATCAAACACTTGCCTCTAACCAGCGTACAGTAGCGCAACTGCAGAGATCACAAAATATCATCTATCACCGAAAACTATAGAAGAAGAAAGTGTATGAGTTGTGTTTAACCTATTATGAAAAGTAAGGTCATTAGTAGTTGTGAATGACAAGATATATCATATTAATATGTTAGGTTGATTTATCCAAAGGGCCTAACAAGTTTGAACATTCAAGTCACCCACATTATGCAAGTGCACCCCCAAACCCAATGGATTCAACGAGCTTGGATTGCAACCTTTACACCTGCACACAAGGTAGAATTTCAACACAAATCATTCAATAACTAACAGTGAATGGTGTATATAAACCATTCCATGCTTATTATTCCACCAATGTGGTATATATGGTCTTCCCATTTTTCTTACACAACACAATTCACATGTACCCTAAGTTGAGCATCGATTTCTCATCACACTCAACCATTTTGAGCATATGAAATATTGTTGTAAAGATCTCATGGAGTAGAATATGAATCAGTAAATTTATTATACGAATCTCCCTTTACTCTTAGAAAATATGCCTCAAAGTTTCAATTTATCACAATTTTTCCAATAGATATCACCATATCAGGCCTTTAAATCAGTTCTTGATTAGGCATGAGGGTATCTTGAGAGTTTCACATTGCTAGCCATTTTGCATGTTTTTGGACCCAATTAATTGTTAATGTTTGCTGCTTGTTTGTCGACTTTGTGCATTTTGTCCAAGTCCATAGCTGGTCCGGGAGCATTTTGCATATATCCAAACCAACGCAACATATGTTCCGTTGGGTACCACTTAACAATAAAGTATGATAAGGGCATGCTCTTATGTCACTCAACTAAGGCACGGAGAAGATTATTAGAGTAATTTATGCAACTATTAAACAGTTTTAACTGAAATAAATAAATAAAATTTATATCATTTATATACTATTTTTTATGTACATTATCTTCGAAAATTTGTTGCATGAAAGTGAAAAGCAAATATCGTCTTGTTGATGACCTAGGTTTAATTGGATATATGTAGTATTATAAGGTTGATTATAATATTGAAAACAACTTATATTAGGTGGTAAACTAAGAATGTTCAGAGCATAGAGTTATCTCAAGTAAATAATTTCAAAGAATTAATATGTTATCTAAAGTTCAAATAGAAAAAGTTTGTCTTGATTACCAGGGTAAGGTGACTCCCAATTAGAGATAGATGTGTTAATAGAACTGACAACACATTGATCTAGACCTAAAATAGATTAAAATCATAAATTCATTTAAAGATTAAATTAATTGTGGCGTTTAGAACATATTTATCTTAATCTTGAGTAAACGTGGGACCATATTATGTGACTCGAATACTTTGTATATTAATTATGTTGTGTCTTAAAGTAATAACATGATCTATGATGTGTTGGACATGTCACTCATGCATGATGTAGATGCATTTATAGATTTGTAATCATAGTTCAATTAAAGATTAATTAATATCTTGTTAATGTCATTGTAATGATTTGTGAAAATAAAACGTGGTATCGGGTCATTGGTAAAGGATAAATGATTAATTAATACTTTATGTGATAATTATTTTTACTATTTAATTTATAATGAAAATTTTAATATAAAAGTGATCAAATTAGATGAATAAGTTTAATAAATGATTGTGCATACATATGAAACTTTTAATATATATATGAGTTCAATCATGATATTTTAATAGAATGATTCATTAACTTTAATAATTTAGAAGTAATCAATTGGCATAAAATTTGGAATCAATATACATGTTATTTTAGCTTACATTATATATGATTTAATGGTCCCTCCGCTAGCACTTTATAGCTCGTGAACGAAATACATATTAAAGAATGAACACAAGGATGATTTATGGATGAGAAATAGGTTGCAGAAAATTTCTTACTTCAAGTAATAATATTTTCTCATGGAAATGAAAAATAAAATTTAAAAATATAACTTTGTATCATTATGGAATCTAAAGTAGTATATTAAATTAATAAATCGTTTAGTATTTAATAATTTAGATAATTATTCAGTGAAGTCCAACATAGAATATTAAATTAAAAAATTATTAGTTTAATTAATATAGTTAAAAATTAAATAAAATATAACATAAATTCTAAGATGATAAAACTGGGATGACTTCGTGGAATTAGAATTCGACTATATAAAAGTTATTTTATAAATAAAAAACATTTTTAGCATAATTAATTTATTTGATTACATATTAAAATAAATTTAAACTTATTTTAATTATTAATTATTTAATTGAGTATTTGCATTTTGACCTTGAGAATTTAATTAATATCATTATTAAAATTAAATTAAATTTTTAAAAGAATCGACCTGATATTAAGCCCACCCAGCGGCAAGCCTAAAGACAAAATGAAATTCAAAATAGGGCTTCCCAAAAAAAATTGCGAAGTACTTTTATCTTGGAATCAATGATATTTTTTTTATAGTGTATAAAAAACGTCATGTTGAGGTGATGAGTTTCAATAAAAAAATTTTTTATTCAAATATTTTATTTTGAAGTGATAAATTTTAATAAAAAATTATATTTTATTAAAACTTATCACGTCGAGATAACGAGTTTAAATAAAAAATATTTTTATTGAAACTGTCACGTCGACGTGACGAATTTCATGAATACTATAAAAATGTTGTATATCCCAAATTAAATTTCTATTTACTTTAATTTCCTAAAAAATTTACCCATTTACCCTATTGGACAAAAACCGTAATTGTCAGAGTGGCAGCCCACTTACAATTTTCAACAGCAAATTGAAATCTCAAAACAGACGGCCCATATTATTTAGAAAAAGATAACACATTAAAAAATAAAACTATAAAAAGTTTTGAAAAATAATCTTGAATTATTTAGAAAAAAATTGATGTGAAAATCTATTAAAAATATAATATTTATAGAATTATTTACCATTTTTCTAGTGTTTATAATTTTAAGAGAAGAGTTTATACTCAAAGAATAATAAAGAAAAAATATTATATTAGAAGTACATCTAGAGTCCATCCGAGAGTAAGTTTATTATAAGATCAATGTCACACATGATATCAGATTCTCAAATACACGTATACTTTATTCTTTACTATTTTATTTTCTTTAGATATCACAATTGATCCATATTGTTAAATTTCTTTTAAAAAGCTTTTATTATACTTATTGTAACTGTTTTTTTTTCAAGTGGAACCAACAGCACCATGGTTAATGACATGTAATTTGATTATGAGTATGTCTAAGAGATCTTTATCGGAATTAGTCCAATCATCTAAATTAAACATTCCCTACTCAATTTTACTCTCAAATACAATAATAATAATAATTTTTAATTTAATAATTATTTGATTCTCATGTTTATCGTGAATTATATAAACCCAACGACTAACTCAGTTTTTAAGGCATTACATCTAATTTTGTCTAATCCATTATCGTTTTCATCAACAACCCTCATCATCAACAATCATAATTTTTACTATCATCGTTCAATCACCATAATCATCACTGTAATCACTTAATTCCTTGAACCATTAGCCATTGTCACAACCCAAAATGAGACGGTCACCACAAAACATAAGAAGTTAAAAACAAAAACAAAAATAGTGTGAATTTGTTATTTTTGAGAGATATTCTTAATAATCTGATCTAATGAATCTAATAATGATATCATGATAAATCTTATGATGAAATTTGGGATTCATGTATCATTGTCTATAGTGATCGATATACGGCAATGGTTGATATAGTGACACTAAAAATTATTTCTTGGTAGGTTGTTGGGTTATGTTATAGAAAAAAAAGGCTAAGAGTCGAGTTAAAGAGAAAAAAGGGGGTATATGAAGAAAAAAAGGTTCTAATTTTTTTATCGAACATGAGATGAAATTTGGGATTCATGTATCATTGTCTATAGTGATCGACATACGGCAATGGTTGATAGTGACACTAAAAATTATTCTTGGTAGGTTGTTGGGTTATGTTATAGAAAAAAAGCTAAGAGGCGAGTTAAAGAGAAAAAGGGGGTATATGAGAAAAAAGGTTCTAATTTTTTTATCGAACTGACCTAATTATCATAAATTATTAATTAATGACTTGATTATAAATTTTTAAAATATGTGAATTTTTTAATGAATAAATTACTCAGAACACTATTATTGGAGATTTAAATACAATAAATTATATACAATTAATTAACTAAATTTGATTATAATTTTTTAAATATATGATTTTTTTATTAATCTAAGAGTGATTACAAAATAACTACCTTTAAACAATAAACACTTAATCACCTCTAATACACAATATACTTGGACCTATGACCTTTTAAGATAGCAATCATTCTTTAACTTTTGAATCCATTGATAGATGTAAATATGACTATAGGTTTATAAAATTACTGGCTCTAGATAGTATAAATGGTACAAGAATTGATGATCAATTTTACAACAGGTTAATAGTACGGTCTATGTACACTACTGATGCAGGGGGATCTGAGACAGATGATGCTGAGCTATCAGATTGCACCTTGATGGCGCTGAGATACCATGAATTGGCAGATCAGCGCAAAGCGGGAATTGATTGTGACATGTTCCTCATTGGGGTCGTTTTGAGTAGTTTCAGTCTTTTGGCCATAACTTTGCTACAGTGTCAGAATCACGCATAAGGACCCCAATCCGGAAAGCTCTTTTCGACGCGCACGCTCTCCCACATGAGCTACGCTCCATGTGGCCTTTTTTTCAACCTCAATTCTGCCGTTTTTCCCTCCGAATCACTAGAATTAGATATTTTTACTATTTATGGTAATATTTCGATGTCAATTAGGAAGTCAATTTAAATCCGATTTAGGCCGGATTTTTGGAGATTGCTTATTTTTATTTCGAATTTCAATTTAGAGTGATTTTTTGAGATTTTGCTATTTTTGGCAAAATTCGAATAAAGACGATTTTTGGCTATAAGTCCGGCTTGTGGACTGATTTTGGCATTGTTTGATTTGATAATATTTTATTAAACCCTAGAGACTTTTTTTCTCTGGATTTTTTTGGGCGAATTTTCTCTTGTGAATATCTGTTGGAGCGCTTGCAGGATAATCACTATTCTGTCGGCGTCAACTACATTGGCACACACGTCACCTCTAAGTTATTTTATCACTTCATCCAAATTAAAATACAATTTATTAATATAACTTAAAATTGATAAAATTATTATAACTTAACATTTTATTAACTGTAACATTTTAGATTAAATAAGCTAATAATTTAAGTTAGTAAAAAATCATAATTTGTGTCAACTTTTTTTTATTATTTAACTTTTTTTCTTCTAATTTATTTAACTGATGGCACCGATTTTGATGCTGGTTGCATCCTCCCGGTTATCTTTTTCTTTTTTTTTAGTTTTAATAAGAATAATTATGTCTTACTGATATGTTTCTGCCTTTATGACACTTTTATCTTTGCTTAGCACGTTTCTCTGTCTTTTGGTAACTTACGGTTTTTTGCTATTTTTTCGTTTATCTTTTTTCATAGGTTAGATTTGACATCGCCACAAACTGATCAAGATGACACTTATTTGTTATCCCTGCTGATCTTTCCTGCTTTGGACCCTAGGATTGATTTGATATGTGTTTGCTCTCGTTGATAGTTTTTTCATGTCGCTTGACTCTGATTTGCGACTTTACTAGTTCATCACCTTTTGTGGTTCGTTTGCCGATGCAATCAGATTTGTTCGTGTCTTTATTTATCGAGCATTGGTTAGGTTTTTAACCTTTTCCTTCTATGGTCATTGTGTGATCTTGGTGACTTTTTTTTTGTTAATTAGAAAAACATCCTAATTATAATTTAGTTTATGTTACGGTCATGCTTTAAATTTTCATTACAATTATGAATATTTTTTATTTTAATAATTAAGATACCCATTGGGTGTCTAGGTAAGATCCAAACTGCATCGAAAACGTACACCTAACCCTTTGGATATATGGGGCAAGATTCAGAGCTACATAAAAAATGTACACGCCGCCAACTTACTCCATCGAGTATTGGGCATCTGCCCAGTTAGCATTTAAAATGCCTTGGAACTGACTGGTATATACCTGGACATTCTAACAAACAATACAATCACCCTACTCTAAAGCTCAGGTGTCCTGGCTATTTTTTGAGTCACACAAATACTAGTTTATGATACTTATCTCTATAGATATTTTAAGTTATTTGTTTTCGTTTACTGTTTCTCCTAGTAGCTATCTTTCTTGTTTTCTCATCTATAATATGATACTAGTATATTACTTACTCTATAGATATTTATAGATATTTTAAGTTATTTCTGTTTTCGTTTACTGCTCTCCTAGTTGCTATCTTCTTGTTCTCTCATCTATTATATGATATGAGGGTTTTTAGTCTATTCTACTGATACTGTGTTGATATGGTTGTCTGCTACTTAAGGGCATTTAGTTATTATCTAACTATAGAGCAATCTCTACGTGTTCGTGACTTTACGTTGATTAATATGCTTGGTGCTTACTAGTTATGATATTGGCTAGCTCGATATCTGATTTGGGTTTCATTTTTTAGTACCAATATTGTATTCATTATTAGTACGCTTTCCCTTAATTTGACCTCTAATTAAAGGAATTGTACGTCCAACACTCTCAGTCGTTCTTACGATAAACGACTCTGTTGTTTCATAATCTGATTATTCGGTCATACCTCTTATCTGTAAACTTATACAACGATCCTTCATACTTAGATATCTGTTACGTGTTCAACTGAAGATACTTGGATCATTAACCCTACTATTGTTACACTGGTTGTAACCCACTCCTACGAGTGTTACTAGGGCCCTTTGGCCATTTACGTCCCTCACGAACTACGTTCTACCCTTACAGACGTCCCTAGCTCTTACGGACCTTAACCGGGTTGAATATGATCATCCAATGTGGGTAGTATTAATGCTCTACTTTTAATCGATACTCTGGGTCAAGTATCGATACTTCTATGAGTATCAGTACAAAAAATGCATTCTCTTGCTAAAAAGGGCTCAGTATCTATACTGTCACCCTGTGTATCGATACTGCAGTATCGATACTGTAGTGGGAATATCGATACTCTCTTGGCAATCTGTAGTGGGAATATCGATACTCTCTTGGCAATATCAATATTCCCGGCTTGAAATGACTAATTTTGCCCCAAATCATCCATATCGATATTGTTCATCCTAATATTGATACTTAAACCCTGAAATGGTTATTTTAGGCTCGTAAAAACTCCTAAAATCACTCTAAAGGCCATAGTTAGATTTTAAATCATGTAATAATGTGTGGGTAGTTTTTTAGGGTTTGAATGTGTCATAAACAATGATTTACAACAA